GTAAAGTTTGTGTGATTCTAAATCATTCTTATAATATTTTTAATTTATCAACCACATAAACTCATTTTTCTTAATATCACATGACATCTTTATGGTCCAATATTAGTGGGACGGAGGTAGTAATAGTGTAATACATAATATTTAGTTTATGGTAATGATGTTTTACTTATTCAAATTTCATTATTGGTTCTCTAATAATTTGAAACCGATGAAATGCTAATTCACTTAATTATTACTCCGTATTTGTTTATTTAAAACATTATCTAACCCTTTATTTAATAAAAAAAGAACTTCAAATAGAAATTAATAATCTCAAGTTTGTAAATTAGACATAAAAATTTTCAATTTGTTGAGAGATTCATTAAAAACCCAATATAATGTAAAACTAACTTGAGTTATTGACCGTTCATTTGTGTGAGTTTAACATGTAGGTATTATTATTGAGAACATGTAGGTATTATTACTATGAATTATGAAAGTATGGATTATTGATTTCAATTTTGGATTATAAATGTTAGCCTCCCTTCAAACGAAAAACATTGGTATCATTATTTTAACATCCTTAAATTGTTTATCAATTGAAGCATATATATATATATACGTACGTATATGCATTATCTATTTAGATAATACATCTATTTAGATAATACATTTGAGAGATACAATTATAGAAAGTTTTGCCACATGTCATATTCTAAGCAATTCTTTAATAATAATATTCTAGATTCCTTTTCTAATTTAAAAATATCTTCTAAAATTTAGAAGTCATTAAAACCTCCCTAAAACTCTTTCGTGGATTAAAATCTGAATTGCTAAAAACTCGAACTAAGCACGGTGTTGGATTAGAATTAGAATTCAACAACGTTGGAATTTCTAAAACAAAATCACAATTTTAAGAGATGGCTTTTGTTACAGAAAAAAATGACGGCTTTCTGATTTCTAAATATCCAAGAACTTAAAATAATCCTCCTGACATCACAAATACCATTAACGAGATTCCTTGAATGTCTCTTAAAAACATTATAAACAAATCTATAAACTAACATTTTACTTTTAATATAAATAGCACTCAGATCAAACCTTTTCATAAGAAATTAAGAATATTTTTTATTTCGGTGACTTTAAATAACGTGCAATTATATTTATTCATTTAGAGTATGTTTGGTAACACGAAATTGGTTGAATCGGCTGATTATACTGAAATTTATGAAGTTTTGACTGAAGTGGCTGAATTGACTGATTTTGCTTAATTATATAGAAAAAGTTAAAATATTTTTTATTAATGGAAAAAAAGAATAATATCTAAAATGAATATCTACAGTAACTTAAGTCAATATAGACATAAAAATAACTTCAATATTAAATTTTCTTTTTATCACACAATTTAATGCACGAAATCAAAAGTTATGTATTTTGTGAAAAAGTTGACTGATAAGCCTGATAAGCCAAAAAAACAGAGACACCAAACGGGCTCAATTGCAATTGGGAAGATTTCTCCAAAACATCCCAATTGCACTCAAACATATAAACTCCACAATTGCACTCATAGTGCACGTTCTAAAAAACAATTCCACTATTTTTATCAAACCGGGACTTGATAGAAAATTATCAATTTGGGACCTAAAAGATGAAGTGTATCAGTACAGGTCCTGAATGATACAAAACTATCAATCTATGACCTAACATTTCATAGGTTTTGATTCATTTATTTTTATTAATTCCATTGCTAATATGTGATGACTTTTTTCCACATAATTAAGTTCATTAATTTAATAAAACTAAATACTATTTCAATTTTTTAAAATAAAAAACAAATCATAACAATTTAGATCCTATATTGATAGTTTTTTATAATGGGTCCTAAATTGATATATTTCCATCATTCACGTCCTATACAGATATATTTCATCTTTCAAGTATTTTGTCATTAGTGACATGTCAAATTTTTTAGAAAATTATCATTGAGTGACATATATTGTTTAATGGGATTATTTACTACAGTAATCTAGGATCAAAATATGAATCTAGATTATTTTAAGATTATTTAAAAAGTATATGTAATAGAGGTTAATGCAGGACAGAGAAAAAAACAGATTATTTGAAGATGATGATTGAGAGATATAATCGAATTTTGAGATTATTTTAAAATTAATTACATAACAATATTTAAATGATAAGAATTATAGAAAAATTGATTATTAAAGATCATGAATGGAGATGTTCTGAGGTGGTTGCTACTTGCATAGAAATCCAACATATTTGCTTAATCTTAATAACTTAACGTAACAATAACGATTCTAATCTAACTTAGATCCTATTCTAACGCACCATAATTAATTACTAAATATACGGAGTACAAAATTGAAAGAAAAAATTAGAATATTACAATCAATGTTTGCTTAGAAGATGACACATGACAAAACATTCCATAATTGTATGCCTCTTTTTATCCATTAAACTTTATACTCCAAATGTTTTTAATGGAGTGCTTCCTAAAATTTAGAACTCCATATATAAATAATATAATAGTACGTATAATGTAAAGTCACAATTAAACTGGGTACCTACTTTTACGTAGCGTAATATATATATATATATCTCTCTCTCTCTCTCTCTCTCTAGGGTTGCCGCAAGCTAAGGCCAACTGCTAGCTTCGATAGTCCGCTATATACCGGCTTACACCAAGGAGCGGGGCTGAATTTCCGGCCATCTATTTTATTTTTGGCATTAAGGATTCGGGAGGTGGGGCGATGAGAGAGGCAGGTGAAGAGTTTCTGGTTTGGACCAGCAGCTTCGTGGTGTGTTTGACGGGAGATTCAAGGAGACGAAACAGCGAATGGAGGAGAGTTTTCTAGCGGGCGAATTCGATTTAGTTGTCCGAGGAAAGCAAGTTTTGTATGGAAAACATTCTTGGACCAGTATACGAACATGGCAATCGGGGGTATTGACAATCTAACCACGGATCTATTCTGCTGGATATTATGTCATTAGAAGGATCTAATGATTGTTGTGTCACACCCGCTTGGTGGTTAGCGATTTATATTGCTCTTTTAGGGGTGATCGTCTCAGAGTCTAGCCGTAGCGTTAATTGTGATAGTTGGTTAGAGATAGTTTTTGTCAGGGTAGGTCTTTTTTAGTTTGTTGTAACGATCCGCTTCCTAATGATTTAATATAAGTGTTGAATTTGATGATAAAAAAAGTCACAATTAATGTAATTTGTTCTAAAAGCCAACTAATATTTATAAATAGCACTCAAACTTTTCCGTAAGAAATCCAGAATATTTTTATTTTAGTGACTTTATTTACATGCAATTATATTCATTAGTTTAGAGTTTATTTGGTAACACAAAATTGGTTGAATCGACTGATTCTGCTGAAATTTATAAAGTTTTCGTTGAAGTGGCTGAATTGGATTATTATGCTTATTTATTAAGAAAAAAATTAAAATATTTTTTATTAATAAAATTTTAAAAAATATGAATAATATCTAAAATCTACAATAACTTCAGCCAATATAGTCATAAAAATAACTTCAATTTTAATTTTTCTTGTTATTACACAACTAAGTGTAGGAAATCAAAAGTTATGTATTCTGTGAATTTCAGAAAATCATTTGAGTGTCTTCCATACTGAATTTTTAGCTAAAATTTGGTATGGGTAAACTAGACTTAATGAAGAAGATGCACAAAAACTTTTCATAAAAATATCCACCGGAAACCGCCCCAAATGATGACGTCCGGACAGAGCCTCCTATATAAGGGGTGATTTGCACTTTTGATGTTAGTTCGAAAGCTGATTTGATACTTTTCCCCATACAATATGATGTTCTCATTCAAAATTCACACGTAATTTAATAATACTGTATCTCCTGATTTCAATGATTCACGCTACTACGCAAGAGTTCATATGTTCTTTCATAATACTACGTAGTACGGAGTACTTCCTCTGTTCGGTAATAAGTGCAACATAGCACTCGGCACAGAGATTAAGAAGCAAAGGGAAAAGGCTTTACTTTCCACTTTTGCCCTTCAGTACACAGATATGAACAACAGTCTGTACTCTGTACCACACATAAAGTGCTACAGTACGTTTTACTGTATGGCCGGCAAATGCTAACTGGCCTTCTTCGCTGGAAACAAACGCCATCTTCTTCACCGGAAAATAAACGCCACCTCCTTAATGCGACCTCCTTCACCGGAAAAAAACACAAATACGAACAGAAAACTTCAAGTGGTCTTCTTCCCCAGAAAATAAACGCAGCATGGACAGATAAGACACCTATTTCGCTGGGAGATATTCTTGTTGATCTTAAACCACCAGCCCTACTGCCTGTAAGAATATTTGGCAGAGTATCCAGGATCACAAATTCACAATCCGAGGTTGTAGCTCGAGGGTAGTAAGCAGAGAAAAATCAACATCGTTGTCATCCGTGTCCTCTGTTTAGTAAAAATTAAACAAGAAATTTGAAAAATAAATAACAGATGAAGATGATGGGGAACAAATTAGGTAACGATTGATGAAATCGGCTACACTGATAGACGAGCAAGCTGAAATGAACAGGGTAGAATATGCCGGTGGTGGGCTGTTAGAATATGTGGTGGGTGGTGAGATGTGGAAGAATTAAAATGATGAGTGGGCGGTGATGAATTGATGGCCTCATGGCTGGTGGCCTGGTGGGTTAAATAAATAAGGATATAGAAGTCATTTTGGCTGTAACATATTTCCTAAAATAGAAATGTTGCAATTAATTTGAAACTGCCGAAAAAGGAAAGTGTTGCACTTATTTAAGAACGGAGGAAGTATATTTTTTCTCATTCACGGTATACTAAGGATTCAATACCTACATTATCATTTTGATGGACATACACTACCGATGATATGTTTAGATAATAAGTTCAAAAATAAGTCGTTCATTAAATAAAAATATTTTTATCAACTGATGCTATAATCGACTAGATACACGATTTTCCATTAGTTATTATATATTAACCCATATACATATGTCAATAATCAATATGCATATAATCCATATTCAAGACTACATATTAAAATTAAAAAAATCATTTTATCCCGTGCACGGCATGGGTAACGATACTAGTTAGAAAAATTATTAGCCTCCATCCAAATTATTCAATTCTATACTAAGTCTTGCATTATCTTGCAATAATGCAACAAGGAAGCGATGTAAGTTGTAAAAGCGTCAGGTACAACTCTTTCTTTTTGAATCAATATTTAAAGATGTTCTTATTTTAGCAGTCTCTTTTCTTCATGTGAGAAGCTCCTTTGGGCAGATTAGCTGGTTGCTCTAAAATTGCTTCAAAGAAAAACTATGATCCAATAGTAGGTCAGTTGCTCTAATCTTACAAGCAAGTCCTCCAAATCAATAAGTTGCTCCAACGCTGGGTGAGACCAAAGTACTGAATATGAAATAAGTGAAAGATGTGGCAAGTTTAGAAATAGGCTATACCTTAGGAACAAAAAGTGGATTATATTTACACATGCCCGCAGCAATATAGCAAATAAAAGGTGAGGGAGAAGGCCAGCTGACAGCAACTAATATACGGGTGTGCCCATATCATTTCATTCCTTACTCTTCTTGACACTTATGTAGTATAATTTATAACGTACAAGGTCGACATAATTTCCCCAATCTAGGCATAATCCAATTCTATATGTACTTCCAATTTCCAAAGCTCTCCCCAAACAAAGTACATCTCAACATTTACTGTTGGTCAGTGTTAAATAAAATATGGATCTCTTTTTGAACGTGCGAGTTGATCCTTCTTGATGTAGTTCTAAATGACTTTGCACCATATCAGGAAGACTGAGGCCTCCAAACGAGTCGTGAACAACAGCTAGGCAAAATCTTATCAATATTAATAAGAGGCAGGGTTAAATGATGAAGGATTGATTTACTTGATTGCAACTTCATGTGTATGGCATACTTGTGGTATTTATAGAGGGAACTCTTTCTGGAGAACATCAAGATTCCGCGAGTCACATGCATCGACCATATCATTCCGTGATGCACAACTGCAAATGGGACCAAGAATTTGTTATTTTATCGACTCTCCAGTGTAGTTGGGCTTTTTTTTACGCAACATACCTCAAAGATATTCTCAAATATTGCCATGCATTATCAGCCTTTGGATTCATTGCCAATGCACGGACATAATAACGAATAGATTCCTCGTACATACCCTGATATTTAAAAAAATGCATAGCAAGCTAACTGCTTTTAGTCACATCAATAAAGCCAGAAGCAGAAAAGAATCACAGATACAGACATAGAAAGTACCTGGTTGGCATAACTAATGCCCATGTTTGCCCATGCACGTACATAATTTGGTTTTAAATCAATCGCCTACAAAGAAAAGATCAGTCATAATTAGTCGCACTCAAGCAAGCCAGTTTTGAAGGTTATAACATAGATATCACCCAAGCATGATTACTTCTTAAATATGCCGAAACAGTGACTACTTTATAAATAGGGAAAAATAATAAAAATACCCCAAACTTTGATGGGGTTTGAAATAAATACCCCAAACTTTCATATGTAATTTAAATACCCCAAACTTTAAATAAAAAGTTATTTTCACACCATTTTCATGTATTACTTCTTTCAAAAATGTAAATTTATGGGGTTAATTGCACAATTTAAAATTGAAAATTAAAATTTTTGCATTTATATTGATTGGAGGTAACATTATTTATTTTGCAATGAAAGTTTATAATGTTAATTGTGTCTTTTGGAGGTAACATTGTTTATTTTGCAATCAACACCATAAATTTACATTTTTGAAAGAAATATTACTCTATTATGGTGCCAAAACAACTTTTTATATAAAGTTTGGGGTATTTAAAATACATATGCAAGTTTGGGGTATTCATCTCACACCCCTCCAAAGTTTGGGGTATTTTAATTATTTTTCCCTTACAAATATTCCATAAAAGTGACTACATATGCCGCTGCCGACCTGCGACTGACACCCCATTGTCATCACTTCTTCAACCCCAATAACACCACCACAACCCTCCTGACACCGCCCCACCTCTCACTGTAGGAGTGACAGTTTCCGGGGACTTCTCTAGAAGATTTCTGGTGGCGGTGACTGGACAACAGCGGTCATCAACTGATTGGTGGTCCGTGGTGGCAGCGGATGAGAAGTTAATGGGAGGAGAAACAAGAAAATGGGGACAATTTAGGTCACAGATTATTTATACCACCTTTATGTGATTATGTCCAAAATAATTATTAGTTACATACTTACATTTGTGTATTTCCATCATTTGCAATGGAGCCAAAAACTCACTATTTTTTGGCTTGGAATATGATGGAATAAAGCAAAATGGCTCACTAAACTGTCTGCGCCTCTTTGATATGAAGTAGCGGTCAATCCATATAATTTTCGGCGTGATTTTCACTATGGATCATTTGGAAACAGTCTCTCTGCTTTAGTACAAGGGTAAGACTGCGTACACCCGACCCCCCCACCATTGGTGGGAGCCTTTGTGGCACTGGAGTAATGATGATGATGATATTTACATTTGTGTCCATTAAAAGCTTATGAGTAACATTTTGGTCATTTTTTCTAATTTTTTGTCTATTCTTATTGGCAAACCATATCTCTAATCAGCGAGCATCATGACTGCACATTTCTTTTATACAAGTGTCTGGGACCTTTTGCCCTGAATAATCCCACAGACCCTGATGGTCGGGTAAACCTTCAATGGACCTCCATGTGAATCGAACTCGGATGGCAACACAAGTCAACTTTTTCAAGCCAGACAATCAACCCCAAATGTTTCATAATTCTCAGACCACTGGTATTACTTTGTGCATATGTTTATACTCGTATTTCCCGTCTACCTAATTGCAGTTCATAATGGTGGAATTCCCAAAACAGGTCATAGAGTTTACCTGCTGATAAGCAAATATTGCATCAGCACTCTGAACACTATTAGCCTGTGTGGCACCAAGCTTATTCCAAAGTGAGTAGTCTCTTGGTTTGAGGCTCAAAGCAGTCTTAAATGATTCAATAGCTTTATCATAATCCCTTGACAAGTTGTATAATACACCAAGTACTATGTGTACATCAGCATCTTCGGGTGCCATTTTAGCAGCATCATTAAATAACCCAGCAACCTGCATGTCCCGCACAATCAAAACCAAAAATCATACGAATGTTCAACAGCATGAATCCGCATAGGTGTATAACGTACATTTGAAGAGTAATAACAACTTAAACAATGGGCCTTACATCATTATGATATAGAGAGTCAGGTAAATCTGAAGGGGCAATGCTCCCGTACTTGGGGTGATTGCGTAACCAACTGTACAAATACTTCAATGCAGCTGCTTGTTCCAGTTCTGATCATTTTACAAACACTATTATTGATAGTTTTCGAATTTTCTCCATAGCAATCATCGCTAGAAACAATATAGAAAATACACTCCCTCTGTCCCATTACGCAAGATACATATGACCGGTTTGGCATGACTTTAATTATAAAAAAATAAGATGAATGTTGCCATTAAAATTAAACTATTAAAAAGAAAGTAACATGGGTCCCAACTTCCACAAAAAGTAAAAACGTGAATCTATAGATAAAAGGATAGTGTGAAATTAACAGGTTAGTGGAAGTGTGGAACAAAGTTAGAATGTGACCAAAATTTTCAGACACACTAAAAATGAATTATATGGAACAAAATGGGACGGAGAGAGTATCATAACTGCTTCATATTCTAGTAGTACTCTGTCTTCATTAAACTCACCATTTGTGTGGCTCACCCCAAGTGCAAGGAGAACTTCCAGATTCATAGGATCAGCCCCTTGTGCACGCATCATGGCAGCAATAGCCTGTGACGAGATAAACCATTAAAATACAAAACTTTCACTATATCAGTTAAAGCTTGTTTTAGAGATGCCCCACAAATATTAAGATATGGAACTGTATGCTAGATTTTTTAATCTGCACCACAACCTCATCTTGATTCGGTATATGATGACTTCAATTAAGTGACAACATAGAAATAAAAGAACTAAACATCAGGAATTTAAGCCATGTTACATGATGTGGATATGATTTTATGATATCAATTTTACAAGGACTTGCCTATAGCAACTATCTTAGTTCACCATCATCTCATTATATTACCCACTCAAATTGATAAAACCTAGAGGTGAGCAAACGGGTACAAGAACCGCGGGTTGAGTCGGGTAACACAGTTCCGTGACAGGTTGAGGTTGAGACCTAATTTTAGAAAATCCAAATGTGTCTTCAATCCAAATACAGGTCTTGAAAATTTTTGGAACCGAATGTGTCTTCAAACTTAAAAAATGGGCACCCAAACCAAACATGTTTAAAATATTATTTTAATAAACTCTATTATATTTAATATACTAACAACACACAAAAGCTCTTCATGTTCTTGTGTCTTAGACAAAAACTCTCAATTGAAGAAACTAATGAGTCTATTATAAAGAGTTCAAAGTCCATATAAACTTCTAAATTATTATCTCCAATGCTCTATTTCAAATGCATCAAATTTCCTTTATTTAATCTATTTTTTTTTTGTAAAAACAAAGACTCTTACTTGATGAAGTGTGACTTTTCATTTAATTATCTTAATTTTACTTACACTTTGAGCTTTAAGCTTTAATTTTTTTATGAACTTGTGGTGCTATTTTTTTAGTTTGTGGATGACGACATCTTAATTTCTACACTTCAAAAGTTCAAAATTTGGTGCTAATTAATTTGTGCGGTTGTGTGCTATTTAATTTATAGATTTGTGGTAAGATATTTTGTTAACTAATTCAAACATGTTTAAAATATTATTTTAATAAACTCTATTATATTTAATATACTAACAACACACAAAAGCTCTTCATGTTCTTGTGTCTTAGACAAAAACTCTCAATTGAAGAAACTAATGAGTCTATTATAAAGAGTTCAAAGTCCATATAAACTTCTAAATTATTATCTCCAATGCTCTATTTCAAATGCATCAAATTTCCTTTATTTAATCTATTTTTTTTTTGTAAAAACAAAGACTCTTACTTGATGAAGTGTGACTTTTCATTTAATTATCTTAATTTTACTTACACTTTGAGCTTTATTAAGCTTTAATTTTTTTATGAACTTGTGGTGCTATTTTTTTAGTTTGTGGATGACGACATCTTAATTTCTACACTTCAAAAGTTCAAAATTTGGTGCTAATTAATTTGTGCGGTTGTGTGCTATTTAATTTATAGATTTGTGGTAAGATATTTTGTTAACTAATTCAAAATTTTGTTTTAAATTTTTATTTTAAATTTTTACTATATTATGGTGACATTGATGTTTATTTAGTTTGAGAATCTTATTACTTATTAGCTACTTTGCTAGCGTAGCAGTATTTTTTTACAAGCAGGTGGTTCCTATTTTTTGACAAACCCGGACCAAACAGGCTTGCTTCAAACGGGGCGAGTACGGTCTGGTTCCTATTTCAAGAACTGGTATACTCGGCCCGAACCTACCCGTTTCATAGAACCAACGGTTCTTGAAAATTTAAGAATTACCCGAACTTACCTAGACCGTGCCAACCCCTAATAAAACCTATTATGTGGCGAGTGGCGACTAAGGAATATCAACTGAATATTCCTGCTTGAAGCATCTACCTTTCCTTTAAACTGTGTCACTATGATTTTTGCATGGAATTACAGTGCCATGTAATTTTAAACAATTAACTGACAATTTAATAAATTATCAATTAACTCGCACTATAAGGTCGATATAACATACTACCTCCGTCCCTCTTATAATGGGACGGAAGGGGGTGACACGGACACACGGTTATTAAGAAAAGTAGGTTTGTATGGTTGATATTAATTGATAAAGTAAGAATAAAGTGAGAATGATTTAGAACCACACAAACTTTACCAAATATGGTGTCATGGTGTGAGACAATTTTTGTAGGATTTCCCGAAAAAGGTAAAACGGGACAATATTAGCGGGACGGAGGGAGTATCTTTTTAGATTAAGGTGCTGATAATGATGATGATGATGAATTGACAGTTTAATAATTACTATCCTCCATTCTATAATTCTTGCAACAGTTTGACTTTCACGTTTGCTAACGCACAACTTTGACTGTAATTATATTTAATTATGTATTAGTAAACATTATAAAAAGTATATATTTTGGAAATTCACATCGATAGGAATTCAATAACATTTTATACGTAATAATTTGATTATGTATATTAGTAGAAAATCAGGTCAATGTAAGGTCTGTCAATGTTGCAAGAATTAAAGAACGGAGAAAGTACTCCCTCCGTTTCTAAAAGAACCTCACACTTTCCTTTTTTGGATGTGCCAAAATAAAAGTCACACTTCCCTTATTTCCTTATTTGGCAAAGAAATCTACATCCAAACAGTGCCAAACAGTGCCAAACAGTGTCCAAACAGTGCCAAACAGTGTCTAAACAGTGTTTTCTACAGTAAAGTCAATTTATTTCCTTAATAACTGTGAAGTCAAACCGTGACTTTCTTTTAGAAACGGAGGGAGTATATGTTATCATCAGTGTAAGTGACTACAACGTAGTTGAGATAAAGGCGTTGCTGCTGATGATGATGATAAAAAGAGACTACAGAGTCATCATACGTTCCTAAAGCTCTAGCAAACGGAAAACTACAAATAGGCCTGTCAATGGGTCGGGTCTCGAAACGGATCCAACCCGAACCGGGTTGTTTTTAACGGGTATGGATCTATATTTTGTTCCGTTTACCTGAACCCGGATCCGGACCCGTTAGTATTTTTAATAAATGGGTCGGATATGGTACATATGATTCCGACCCGTTAAGAACCCGGACCCATTTAAAATTTATTATTAGTATATATGTACACACATACTAATATATAAAGTGATTAGTTATAGGGAGCATTTCCAATGAGAACCATGCTTAACGTGAGAACCTGAGAATCATGCACATTTAACACAATTTGGTGCACTATGAGGCTCATCTTTAACACTTTTTAAACTTTGGTCAAAATGTGCTGGCAGATTCTTAAATAATTTATCAACACGAAAATGTGCATGTATAAACGATATTGTGCATCACATTTGCTTAAAAGTGAACTTCTCACGTTCTCACGTTAAACATGGTTCTCATTCGATCCTAAATCATTAGTTATAATACTCCCAATAAAAAAAACTAATATATACACACACACACGCACGCACACACATATACATACTAATACATAAAGTTATTAGTTGTAATTCTTCAATTAAAAAAATACACACTAATGCATATCTACTGTATAAGTCGAGATAGATAAATACAAAATACCCTAAAACTAATACCCATTTTGACCGTTTATACATACTGATAAAGTGTGTATTGGGTTCGGTAGGCAAAACCCAATATTTATAATAATTAATATCATTATCATATGTAATATGCTTTTATACTCTATACTCCAAGAGATTTTTGTGTGACTTAATTTCGAATCTATTCTACGAGCTTTCTTTGCGAGAGAAAGAGACACAGAGTGTGGAATTATACACCTCTACAAGAACTGATACTTTATTGAATAAAAGTACTAATTTTTTGTGAGAAACCTTGATTTTTCTTTAGAAGAAACCTTGAATTTTTTGAAAGTGTCAGACATATTTTTCTTTTAAGTTTGTGCACCCTGTTTTACATTTCATATACATCTCTTGTTATTTTCACAAAGTTTATAATGTTGTGCATATCATAATTGGCAGGTCTACCCGACCCGCTCGAATACCCTTTGGGTCCGGATCCAAACTTTCAGACCCGTCGGGTATACGGGTTGGGTCCAGGTCCTTTATTAAATTAGAGGATCCGAGTCTAGAACACTACGTTCCATCCCAGACCCGACCCGCCCGACCCATTGACAGGCCTAACTAAAAAGGCTACAGGGAAATGCAGAAAATTTTAGAATTAATAATATTGAATTCAATTAATCCATGAACTAATATTGACCTGTTGATCATCATCATTTTCAGCATGTGCTATACCCAGTAGTCTCCAACCTTCAGCATTTTCAGGATTTTTTAAGACTTCAGCCTCCAACGCAAGAACTGCTTCACTTAAAAGCCCCTTCCTAAATAGTTCCTGCCCTTCTTTAAGAGGATTAGGATGGCCAACGTACGGGTTTAAATCAGAAAACTCATAAATCCCCCTTGACGATCGTGACTGCTGTTTCAATGAAGCTTGTTCATTCAAGTACCTGCCCAAAAAAATAATAATGGAATATAAATCTAACTGAACAATTTCAGACTTTCACGTAAAATAGGAAGAAAGACAAGGTTGGTGGCAAGGGATACTCTTAAGATAAGAAGTGAAGTCTTGGCATATCAGCATATGCAAGAAAATACAAAAACTAAAAGGATTTTGGAGTGTCGAGGGACATACGAATTTGACAAATATTTTTTGTAAGGGGTAATTTGACTTGCACCCCATATTATTGTCCAAATTGGACTTTGCACTCCGTTTTTTAAAATCTTTGTTTTTGCACCCCAACCCCATATGAAAAGACAAAAATGCCCTCAATCAGGAATATGTTGAAGACCAACACAATTGTTAATGGAGGGGCATTTTTGTCTTTTCAAATGGGGTTGGGGTGCAAAAACAAATATTTTTAAAAACAGGGTGCGAAGTCCAATTTGGACAATAAAATGGGGTGCAAACTCAAATTATCCTTTTTTGTGTAATTGAGAAATAAAAGTCAAACTGGGACTCTAATCATGAACTTGAAAGTTGCAACATAATTTTTGTGCCGGTGAAATTGTAGATTGAATCTTATTATGAAATATGAATCATAAAATACATGGTCAATAATCACAAATAAAGTAAAAGCATAACAACATTACTCATCATTTTTAATAAAGATGTTTCATATAATCATATATAAGTAAATTACACACTTGTTTTTACTGACGTTGAACCCCATAGCCACCACCAAAACTAACTGAAGCACACCGACTGCTTAATTCAGAGTATCTCTGGTCTACATTTCATAAAACCAACCATGCCAAACTCAACAAAATAAACAAGCAACGTGGCACTAAAAACCCCACCGCCGTCTAACACCATCCACAACTCTACATGTAGTAGGGTTTGGATTCAGGTGAATAGTCTATTTCCATGATGGTATGTTTGTGTTGTGCGCAAAAGGGACACCGAGTGATTGATCCTTGGGGTTGTTTTATGCTACGACACCGCTGCAGGAAACCCATGTGTATGAGCTAGAGGTAATAACTCATTTTTTATGTGATCATGCAAGCTTGCACAATAACAGGAGTTAGAAGCACAGTTGATATGATTGAACGTGGCGAGGCCGCAGGAAACATTAGGGCAGTCTCTTATGCTAAGCATCTAATATCAGTCTCCACCATCATTTGAGAATAGCGGGTTTCACTAAATTCTTATCAAATGTATGAACTAGCATTAGAAATAAAAAGTAGCTATTGCTTAATCTGCTAAGCAAGCACCAAGCCCTAATGGAAATGGTAACTCTGGTCATCCCAGGATACTTTTAAAGTTTTAATTACTACAAAAGCCCAACGCACTTATGAGCTCTGACATTTTTAACACTTATTTAGAATATATGTATTATGCACACACACAGCAAATAATTCTTCTTTATAGTTCTGCAAGTTTAGCACTTCGGACAGTTTCTGTTAGGAACCTCAACAACGTCGCAGAAATTTAGAGTTAAATTTGATGAAAATCTCAGTTTCAACCCTTACAGTTATTATTATTATCATCACTAATCTGCCCAGTTCCTATCAGCTTCAACCACAACTTAAGTAACTTCAACAGTTCAGAAACTTTCAGCATTTTGTTCAAATTCACTTTCAATGGGCTCTTTATCTTATATGGGTTTGGGGTATTGGATGTATAATGAGATGTCACAAATAAAAATAAAAATCAGCTCATAAATACAAAATTAACCATCTGCTTACAAGAAGAGTAAGAGAAAACCATGATATTTCTAGGAAAAATTGATAGTAATAATCCCAACTATTGACGGTCCGCTCATAATAATCCCAACTATTGATTATTCCAGAATAATCCCAACTTTGGGGACCTTCCGCCAATAATGGTCCCTATGAATAAATTCTTGTAGTTTCTAAAGTGGATGAGATGAGATATAACAAGTAATCCCTATAAATAATCTCAACTTTTAATTTTTACGCTTAATTTCTATGTAAAATTCACTTTTTTTAGAGGTAATATCTGGTCATGGACCATTATTGGCGGACAGTCTATATAGTTGGGATTATACAAAAATAATCAATAGTTGGGATTATTTTCAGCGGACCGACAATAGTTGGGATTATTATTTTCAATTTTTCCATATTTCTAACAAAACCATGATATTTCTAACAAATACTCACTCATCATAAGCATCAACCCAGTTATTAGCAGAACTTTCACCCGAAACTCCTTCAGCAACCTGACGACCAAATTCGTCAGCCCAGTCAGTGACATTTAACTTTGAAAATTCATCAACCCACTCCTCGTTCACTGATTCATGTTGCCTGTTCTGAGCAGCAAACTCATCTGCCCACCCACTTGGTCCATGAGAAAGCTGAAACCAACATAGACATTCATCTCAAGGTGAACAAAGACATACTTTGTAATATAGAGGAGTGCGGATAAATAGGTAATACAATTCTTTCACGAGAGAATGTGGGAATCTTGTAGCTATTTTGATCTACTAATCAGGACGGGAAATAAGAGAACCCTCTAAGCAATACAATGACACATTTATATCCAAAATTAGATTGGTAAATGGGTTCACAACAAGAATAACCATCAGTTCAAGATTGATAAGACAAGACACACGAGAAGATTATGAAAAATAAATATCACTATACGATAGTATGATACAATCATCGCACATAATTGTGAACAAAAAGGAAACCAATTATATGCATACCCTCTCTTGCTCAAACTGGTCAGACCATGTCTGACCTCCACTATACTGTTGTTCATATTCTGCGGCCCAATCCCCAGAAGCAGATACAGCTGGTTTAACTTGATTGTCCTCAATGCTAATTTCACCACGGCTCATCTTTGATACAAATTGGAGAAATTTTGAATTCTATGTAACAAAATATAAAACATTTTTGAAGACGTGAGAAACTCAAATAATAAAAGCAGCAGACAAAATTAATAATTAGCAGCTCTTTGTCCAAAAGAAATTATGCACCCCCCCCCCCCCCCCAGATGACTTATGTTACACAATTGTATGCTATGAGAAGTTATCAATTTTATTGTAGGCACCATGGAATTTCCCTTGGTCTTAAAAAACAACACCATGTCCCCAATTTCACATTCACTCCTTGGGTTTTAGACATTTAAAAGTAAAAACCCAACAAACTAACCTACACACAGTCACACAGAGGGGAAGGTAGTTTCAAGTGAAAATTGATCTTAAGATAAGCACCTCCACTTAAACAAGAACCATTCATTGAAAAAATCCAATCCAAACAATCAGACACGTGATCAGGACAATTCAAAAGTAGGCCTTATGGTAATGCACATTTTGTTTTTTTATTTACTAGAAGTGGATTCTGGCGGTTACAAAATCTAGAAAATTACATATGAAAAAAGGAACTATGACGGTTAATTATGACCCCAGAAGTGTAAAGCCATTTAAATTAAGAAGCATAAAAAACCTGAAATTTGGGGTCACTATTTTGAGCTAATGTATGAGCTAACATGCGTGTTTGCTCCATTGCGGCTAAGCTTGGAATATTTGCACCTCTCATTTGATCAGTCATTCGAAGTTGGGATTGCTCCTGCAGAGGTTGCATTAATAATGCAGCCCAATATGGCTTATTAAATAAATAAAATGTGTAGTGGCCACGAGGGAGTGAGAGGCGGAAGCAGACAATAAAATGATGAATACAGCAGCTACTTCAGTATGTCAACTGTTTAATCTAAAAAGTACCATTTAGGATATGCCTGTGCCTCAAACTAATGCTGCTTTGTAATACCATTCATTTGTGTGTTTTGATTAGCAATAATTAACACTATCAGGTTATAATATTCTAAACAGACATGACATATCATAATTCAACCTGAACACACGGTTGACGGTAGTGATTGAAGGAATGTGACAATTAATAATACTTCCTTACATGTTCAAACTCAGATGCCCATCCATTTACACCATGTTGTTGTTGAAATGAATGAACCCAAGAACTCGGATCTGCTTCCATTCTATGTTCCCCAAACTCCGTTACCCATCCATCTGCAACTTGATGCACTGGTTTCGCACCCTGCGACTCATTCCAATAATCCTCCAACTCTGGCAACTGTCCAGGCATAGGGCCCCTTGTCCTAATATTAGTATCAATATCCAAAGAGCTTAAAAGTGCATTAACCTGACAATAATGAAATGCCAACAGCTTGTGAGTAAAGTTAGAGATAGTGCAACTTCAATGGTATAGAACCATAAGTATAAAGTTACACTTATACTTTGACATAGACTATGTCATCTCGGAAGGATTTCAAAGCACAACACGAGTAACTCTTTTATGATTCTGCAATCTCTGCACTTCTCATATTCCCAAAATTTTTAAATTAGTCTTATACAAGTTGCTAAATGTCACACATCGGATGTTTATGAGATCTACATTCAACATATAGGTATGAGGTACACCTCACTTCCGAAGGATCCTTTTGGGGTGAGTTAGACCTAATTTAATATGCTATCAAAGTCTGGTCCAAACTAATCTTACCATGACCATATAACTCATTAGATTCTTGCTCTGCTACCATATTAATATTGGGATTCAATCCTACAAGGTCAACCTTTTAAGGGGAGTAGCCAAGAGCTTTCTTTATGAGTTTTCATCTTTGTATTTACCCAATAAGAGAAGATTTCACACAAAATTTAAAATATGAAACGACCTCAGTTAGAAGCATATTATGTGGTTCATGAACAGACACAGAGATAAAAACAAAACCTGTGCATTTATGAAGTCTTCATTTTTATCAGCAAAAAAATGTCGAGCCATTATAGTGCTACGGTCCCTTATGCAATGCTTTTCACCCTCGGACAATCCTAATACAGGAAGTGAAGCAGGATGGAAAGGGATTCCACCATGGCTGCTATTAACGAAAGAGTGCAAAAAGTTTGACAATACTCTTTGAGGTGGACCTGCATGATCAACAGCGCAACTTACAGCCTTACTGGCTTACCCGGCTAGTCCTAGAAAGGTCCACAGATTACTGCTTAAGCCCTGAGTGAACTTAAAATTAAATTATAAAAAGATATTAAGCCAGCAAGAGAATGCTCAAAGCTGTACAGTAAGGAAATAGGTGCAAGATGGGTATTATGGAAGGTCAAAGGCATTTCCCATTTTCCCCAACTATCTTGAAAGTTACACTGAAGTTTAGTTAGATATTCCAGTAGGTTCACAGGGGAATTGTAAACATGCACTTTAAAATCGAAGGCCCTCGAAATTTTCAATAAAAAGATGGGCTCAGATACAGAATAAATTTTGGGAAATAAACTAGACCAATTTTAAGATAAAGAGTCCAGGAGTAGTAGTCTATTCGCTTCCAAAGAAATTATTCATTAACTTACGGAGCCCATCCATACTAACAACAGTTGCCAGAGGTATTGAAGTGTTACCATTCAACTGTGGTTGCAGCTGAGAGTTATCCAAATGAACATTAGGGTGCCTATGTTGATTCCTTTGTATCCCATCCCATACATCTGCAAAGTGATTCTGATCGGCAGCATGAAACCCTTGAAGGAATTCTGAACCCTGATGGTTGAATGAGCATTAATGGATCACATCCCAATGAAAAAGGAGCCCTAACTATGAAAATCTATAAAGTTTCCTTTAGAATATATTAACCTGAAGATTAGGTTGCAATGGACCATCAAACTCTAGTCCGGGAATAGTTGCCAATGGATCCGGCGCACCCACAGCAAAGTTTCCATCAGATGGTGTAGTCACTGATGTAGGGATCTCCTTCAATCTTTCCTGCTCAGACAATCAACTTATTTTAATTCACATGAAAGAAATTCACTTGACAACTTAGAAGTGCCTTATAAATACACTTCCAATGCAGCATATTGACATAGAAAGCAATTCTGATTTTGTTATATGTGGTGAACACATTAACTATGAACGCTAACGCCAGTAAAGATTTAAGAAGAGCTATATATATAAAATCTTGGACGCGTGAAGGTGCATATCCACTTGCTTAGAATGAACACAATGTGTTTTCTATATAGAATATCCAGTCGGATGCAATTTACAAACACAAGGAGCTCATCACAACTCGTGAAAGGTTGGAGTTGGAGCAGACTGAAACTCAATTGGGCCCAAAAACGATTGACTTGATTGAATTTAGACCAATAACTAGATAACCTGCTAAGGTCGGATATAACGAGAGAGGAAGGAGACCTGAGTCTTGGATGAAGAGCCGATGAGAGCGTTGGCAAGAGCTCCGAGGGGATTGGACGAAGATGAGGAGCCGGGCACGGCGCAGGCAGCGCCACCGGTTACCAGGTCTCTCATCGCCATTTTTGCTTAGCTCAGCGCTTTCTAATTTGCTTTCAAGTATTGATTCTTGATCACAGGCAAAAAAAAAAAATGGATGCTATCTAACTGCTGAATACTGATGATAGCTCCGGAAAAAAACGAGATTTTACATAACCGAGGCACCAGGCAGGCAGGCAGGCAGCTATGTTCCAGCGATGAGCGAGTTGGGTACTTTGCAGCGTTTGCTTATTTCGGTAAAAATGTTTGGTAATACTCCCATTCTTTAATACTAGCTTTCAAGCCCGTGCGATACACGGGCAGTATGTAATTTAGCTAATTTGAAATTTGATTTGTTTCGGATCATATGTAATGTGATTTAAAAGAAAAATAAACTTAGTCTAATATAGAGCTCGTTTGATAATACTAAAAATAAATCGAATTAACTTATTTTAATGAAATTGATTAAATTTTGGCTGAATGGGCTGAATGGATGAAATCTCCTGAATCATGAAAAAAATATGTAAAATATATTCCATTTGTGAAGCCAAGAAAAGATTATATGAAAAATAGTTAAATTGATCTTCTACATAAGCATCTCTAGTAAATATAATTGTTATGAACCCGATTTTAAAGAATTCATAATCTCACGTCCTCCAAATTACTTTATTAATTATGCACCTCAAGTTTTTTCCTTCTACTATTCCTCATTCAACTTGATGTGAAATACTGAATATCTACTTTTAACTTTTAATAATAAGATGTTACATTTTACTCATTATTTCGTCACACCAAAAATGTAAAAAAATGAAGTTTTTTTTTTTACATTTTACTCATTATATATTTCGTTACATTGAAAAAATAATTTAATTGTTATGAACATCTAACAAATACTTTTCTAGTATTTCTCATTCAACTTGGTATGAAACACACATTTTAAAATTTTAATTGTGAGATCTTATATTTTTCTCATTAATAAGGACATTTTTAATTGAATTAAACTTTTGGATTTGATTTAGTAAGAATTAATATGGTCTGGTAGATGTTTGTTTTGCATTTTATGTGACTTATTATTATTATTATTATTATTATTATTATTATTATTATTATTATTAAAGTTTGATCTGATTTGATTTAATCTGGAATTGAAATCAATCCAATTAAAAAAATTCTATTAAAAATAAAAGTATGAATTTGTAAACATATAATATATGCAATATGCAATCATGATATACTTTTGTCAGTTATTTGCAAAGTAAACATATAATATATGCAATATGCAATCGTGATATCAATCCTGATATGCAATATGCAATTTGTAAACGTATAAGGTATATTTATACGGATTTCTACTTCCATATTAATATGCCATGCATTAAAATAGAATCTAGCTAATTAAAATAGAAGGTATAAAAATAACTAAATAATTAATATATATAATGACATGGCTGGATTATGTGGCGCTTTGTATGCTCTTAAAAAGTTCCTCTTTTATATATATATATTGATTAGTCCTCTTAGACTTTGCCACGGGTTTTAAGAGGAAAGTAGTAGGGGTAGTGTAAAAGGTGTAATGAGTAGTGGGTAAATGAAAAAGTAGGAAAAATAAAGGGGTAATGGTAATAAAAGTTGGGGTATAAAGGTATATTTAGAGTAAAAACTTTCCTTAAATGGAAAGGGGGACAGATAAAAAAAACGTCTCAAAAAGGAAAGAAGGACTAATAAAAAAGAACGGAGGGAGTATATGTCAAACCTTTTATCTCAATAATTATTTCGGCAAAAATGTATGGTAAATCAACTATTAACCATCTGCTTGAAATAATTAAAAATATTCATTATCTCAAAATTTCAACTGACTCGTAAATACTATTTTTTATAGAGAGAATGACTTATATTAAAATCATAGAATTCAGAGAAGAATTCAATCAAACAAAAACAAGATCAGACATAATAGACAAGCAAGAAAGGTCAGAAAACATTATTCGATCATACTCTCTGGGATCAGACTTAGAAACTATCACTCACTCAGAAGCAATAGGATTCGCCAATCCCACTTGAGCCACTCTAAGCAAATCGTGATCGATGATGTATTTTCGTCACTTATACGATGTTGTACTTGTCACTGTTCAAAAGTAAAAACATTATTGTTGACCTAATACTAAAGACATCAACGAAAAATAAAGCAACGTAACCAAACATAGCGTGAAAATAAGATCATAAAAATAAAAATAAAAAACTGGTAAATACTCCTTCGCTAGCTCGTTGTCTACGTCCAAAGTGAGGTCGTCGTTCTCCTCCTCTAGGACCATTCCTTGATAGACATGTACCAAAACCTCCATTTTGCCATGTGTGACTGTTGCTTCGTTTCAGAACTCAGAGAAAACTCTCATGCTTATTCTTGTTGAAATCTCACAAAACTAAAAACAAAATCAGGCCGCACGAAGTGATCGGCGGAGAAACAAACCCTACGCTACTATGTGAGGGACATCCGTGAAGAAGCTATTGACGAAGACGACACCTGGATTGCAAGGAATTCTACATTGACTCGTAAATACTATAAGTATTTTAAGTGTTATTATAAGTCACAAGAGTATTTTAAAATGTTTTCAAGCAGAACACTAATAGTTGAATTATTATTGTCCATTTTTTCTATAAAAAAATGTGAGAACTATTTAAAGACATAAACCCGCATTGTTAAAATTTAGTTATTTTAATAATGTGTCAATTCAGACAATTTGAGGTTTGTAGCCGCTCTCGACAAAGTATTCAAGAAAAATGTTGTTTGTATACTTTTTTGCACACACTTGGCATACATTATAAATAATAAATACTCTTCATTTTGATCATTTTAATTTTACATTCTACATTCTACATTAATCCCTCTCCACCATTTCCTTCTCTTCTCTCTTTCCATATATAGAGTCTTGTCTCCTCCCTCATCCTCTTCTTCTTTCATTTTTTCTTCCATTTTCATCACCTTCATAGTCTGTATCCACTTCATCATCTTTCATCTTCACCATATTCATCATCGCTCATCTTCCTCACTTCATCCTCATATGTTCCAACTTCATCATCTTCCACTTCCATCTACCTCACCTCTCACCTTCAATCTTTCATATTCATCATCTCATCATTTTTACCATTTATCATCTTCTAAGCATACATGTTAATTTCACAATGTTCTCTTATTTGCCTTTTACGCTATTTTTATTCGATGAAATTGTGTGTTAGTTACTACCTCCGTCCCATATTGGTTGTCCACTTTCAATTTGACACGATTATTAATAAAGTTGTTTGAAAAGTAAAAGTTGTGATTGAATTTGAGTAGAATAAAGTGAAATGATAAGGATCACATATTTCTTGTCAAAAAGGAAACATGACATTCATTTTGGGCAATGCAAAAAGGGAAGTAGGACAACCAAAATGGGACGGATGGAGTATTTATTTATGAAAGATAAAATAATTCATATGAATTATGTAGTGCATAATAAGTTTCTTAGAAGATGATAACAAAGTTTTTTTTTTTTGAAAATTTGCTTGAATCAACTCTAAACTTTTGAAAATATAAATTTGATTAGTCTTATTTTATGATTTTATCCAAAAATGTGATCAACCTAGTTTACGTAATTTAAATCCTCTCTGCCACATGCGGCAACCATTGCCGGCAGCTGCCATCAGGAAAAGATCAACTGAAGAATGTTCTGTTATTTCATCTTTGTTGCAAAAAAATCGCCGAAAAAATTACCGTAAAAAATTGATGATCATAATGGTTTCACAGCAGCAATGACACCGACAAGGCGACAATAACTATTAGTCATTTAGTGATAATAAACTGATAATGAAATATATACCTTTCCGATTTTATTTCATTGTTAATCATATTTTTATCCATATGCACAAGTAGTCACTTTTTCGGATTAATTTTCATGTAGTAGCATAAGGAAAAATATCAATTTTCTTTTGACGGTTCTAAAAGGAAAATAATAAGAATCCTTAAGTGACATCGTGAATTCATCCAAGCTATTGTGTTCTCTATAATTTATCATTTTATCATAGAGTTGTTTTATAATTGGGTTTTCTTTACTAAATAAAAAGACAAAATGCCAAGTGTGAATTCATCCAAGCTATTGTTGGCTCTATAAATTATACCTTGCTTAATGTTATAAATTATTTATAGGCCTTATTAAAAATATTAATCAAATCGTGTAGCATGTGAGTTGTTTCATTTTCTTTTCACATAGGCATTCAGATAAACAATAATCGAAGTGTATAGATTAACGGATTAACCACACACAATGCCAGTCCAGATGCTCCTGGATTTTGAAGCACAGAAAAATGACGAAGACAGATCTGATCTAAAATTACAAGGGGTGGTCTGACGGGGTTAGTACATAGAAGAATGGGGCTAGCAGATGGGGGCTCAATTAAGTATAGAGATTATAGGGTGAAGTAGACTTTTCTTAAACAAATAGATGAAAGCTTTGAAAGTTGTACTGCGCTAAACATAGAATACACAACTTTAAAAGTTTAAATGCTTGACCAGCACCATGACGTTTGAGCATTGGAACTCTTTCCTATAACAGCAAACAATAATGAGGAATGGTCTTTTAAAATATAAAACATGAACGAAAAGGCCGTTCATGGTTCATATCAAGACAAGGAATCTGGATGCTTTCAAGACTAAAGATAGTAATTGTAGATAAACATGAAAGATTAGTAAAATACATAATACAGCTTTGAGTACGATAATTAATGTCAGGTAACCCATCAAGAAAAGGTAACCCACTAACTATAGTCTATAGTACACAAGTTATCCCTAAATTGAACATAACATGTCTAGGGCCCACCTGGCCCAGTATAAAACTACCAGCGTTTTTTTGCACCGAGTGGAATCGTATTAGATCCTGATCGGTTTCCAAAGCCGCCTCGCCCTCTTCCTGAAGCTGACAAATAATGATGAACCAGTCAGCCCCACGCCTCCATTTCTCATCAGTATTAATATATAGATATAATTAGGCTACATAACCTTTAGGGAGTAAACCAACTATGCATGCATACCTCCAAAGCTGTGACCACCTGAATGTGCCAATGCAGCCAACTGAGGAGGAACAATTTGCTCTGCTTGTTGAAGAATGTTAACAAGCTCTTTGGTGAACTTTGCATTCCCATGGGTAAAAAATGTGAATGCAGTTCCTTTGGCACCAGCACGACCAGTTCTTCCTATCCTATGAACATAATCCTCAAGGCTTGTAGGGAAAT